CAGGCAGCTCCCACCAGCCACACCCAGGTCCTATGAACTGTGACCTTGGCCTCTGTTCCCTGGGCCTCTCCCCATATGACCTCAGTGCCCAGGGCTGGGATAGACAGGCAGGTAGGGACCCGCAGTATGAGTCAGATGGTACCTCAGCAGGCCTGCCATGGAGCTGAGGAGACGCCGCCCAGCCCCAGGATCTAAGCATCTGTACCCTCAGACACACACACACACATTTACACACACACACACACACACACACACAAATCCTGGCCTGACCCCCACCGGGAGTCCGCCCCCCCACCTCTCCCCTCCTGAGCCTCAGTTTCTCCACAGATTCAACAGACAGGATGCACACTGACTCCTTATGGCTGGAAACTGGCTCTGAATTGGACCCCTCCCTCAGACAGCTGGATCCCAGGCACCCCCCCCCTTTCCCATCTATAAAACCGCCTCTCAGCCTGTAATGACAGGGATCAGGCTTTGATGTCCCACATGAAAGACACCCAGGCCCACAAGCTGGCCCCAGGGCTGCAGCTCCCTCCAGAAGTGGCCCCCTGGGCTGTGGGAAGTGTTACCTGAGCCAAGGGGCCCCCAGCCAGAGGGCAGGCACTTCAAGGGAGGGGGTGAGCCCAAAGAGACGCTGAAGGTCAATCCCTAACAGGGGAGTGGGAGGGAGCAGAGTAGTTCTGAAGAAGGAAGGAAGCCACCAGACCTGACCAAGTCCCACCTCATTCCCATGAGGCATAGGTGAGGCCATGCCGTGCATGCTGGGAGAGCTCAGGACCTCATCTAAGGCCTCCCCCAGTCTCCCTCATGGCCCGGCCAGACTCCAGTCCTCCCCTGGCCCCATAGGATGGAGTGCCTGGACCCTCCAGACTTCACCTGGCCCCAAAGGACAAGGTGCCTGGCCCCCAAGACCCCATCACTCCCCTAGCCCTAAGAACAGGGCACCTAACCCAGGAAGAGTCAGTACCAAGGAAGTGAAATCAGCCCTGGGTCACAGCAGCAGCTGGCTTAGTTGAAGTGAGCTCCCCCACCCCAGGCTGTTGTCAGGTGCCATCCTAGACACCCCGTGCACAACAGAACGACACACTGCAGGGCCCTGCACCCTCTTCACATCCTCATCACGATCCATCTTGTTAAGGGCCTTCCTCTTTTTCACTGACCCTCAACATCACCAAGCATGATTTTGTCCTCCAGGGACTGACCCTTCCTGACAACATGTCCAAAGAATGAGAGAGGAAGTCTCCCGTCCTCACGTCTAATGAGCACTCTGGCTGTATGTCTTACAACACAGATCTGTTGGTTCTTCTGACAGGCCATGTTCTTTCCTCCAACACCATAACTCAAAAGCATCAATTCTTCTACGGTCTTCCTTATTCACTGTCCAGCTTTCACATGCATAGGAGGTTATTGAAAATACCATGGCTTGGGTCAGGCGCACCTTAGTCCTCAAACTGACATCTTTGTTCTTGAACACTTTAAGAGGACTTTGCATCAGATTTGCCCAATTCGATACATTGTCTAATTTCTTGATTGTTTTCTTTAGTGTTAATTGTGTATCCAATTAAAATGAAATTTTTGACAACTTCATGTTTCTTTCCCTCTATCATGTTAAGGAGCCCTGGTGTGGAGCTGTAGGATAAGCACTCAACCACAAGGTCGGCAGTTCAAACTCACCAGCTACTCCTCAGAAACCCTATACAAGGTCACTACGAGTCAGAACCAACTCGACAACATCTAACCAACAGTAACACCATCGTGACATTACTTCACAGTTGTGAGGATTTTTGTCTTCTTTACAGTGAGGTGTAATCTATACTGAAGGTTGTATGATTTGATCTTCATCCGTCAGCAAGTACCTCCAGTCCTCGTCAATTTCAGCACACAAAATTATGTCATCTTCATAGCACAGGTTTTTAATGAGCCTTCTTCCAATCCCGATGCCACATTCTTCTTCACATAATCCAGATTATTTACTCAGTTCTGCTCCCATAAAGATTTACAGCCTCGGAAACCCTGTACAGGGTCGCTATGAGTCAGAACTGACTCCACAGCACACAACAGCAACAACATACAGATTGAACAAATACGGTGAAAAGACACATTCCGGAAGCACATTTTTCCTGATTTTGAAACATCCCTTGTCCCCTGTTCTGTTTGAAGAACTACCTGTTGACCTATGTAAAGGTTCTTCAAATGCACCATGTAGTGTTCTGGAATGCCCATTCGTTACAATGTTATCCACAGTTTGTTACAATCCACACAGCTGAACGTCTTTACATACATAGTCAATAAAGTACAACTACATATCTGACATCAACAATGATAACACTCATTCCATGTTCACCTGAATCCGTCTTGAATTTTTAACAGCTCTCTGTCCACGTACTGTAGCAGCCGTTTTAGAATGATCTTCAGTGAAATTTTACTTGTATGTGATATTAATGATATTGTTTGATGATTTCTGCATTCTGCTGGGTCACCTTCTTTGAAACAGGCACCAATATGGATTTTTTCCTGTTGATTGGCCAGATCGCGGTCTCCCAAATTTCTTAGCATAGATGAGTGGGCTTCCTCAGTGTTTCGTCAATTTGTGCAAAGATTTCAGTTTGTATTTGCTTAGCACTTGGAGTCTTGATTTTCACTTCAGTGCAGCTTGGACTGCTCCCTTCCGTATCATTGGTTCTTGATCATATGCTGGTTGAGGTGAGTTGGCCCATCTCAGGAGCCCACCTCAAACTGGAGGGAAAACGGAGCAGGGGCTGGTGCCTGACCATCTTCCCTGGTGGACATCTGACCTTGAGCTGAGGGCGAGGGGCAGGTGAGAAGAGCTGGGGTGGACAGCCCTGTGGTCAGACAATCACCGCCAGAAAACCTGATCTGTCCCAGGAGTTAGAGTGGACACAGGTGGGGCTGCCCCAGACTACGGCATCACACCCATGGAAGTTCACCTGAGCTTCCCTTCCCTTCAGCAGAGCCCCAGGGCTCCCCGGGTCCAACCAGAGGGAGGCAGAAATGACTCAGTCAGTCCAAGTTGGAGACACACAAGGACCACATGAGATGTGGCTGCAGTGGTTTGGGGGGCCCAAGAAGGGCCACAGATGTCTACAGAGCAGGCGGCAGGGGTTCAGGGCAGAGCTAAGGTCTGGGATGTGGGCAAAGCAGCCTGAGGCAGCGGTGGGCAGAGTGGCCAATGGCTCAGTGTGGCCTGGGTTCCTGGTTGGTGAGGTGCTGGCAGTGGAGAGGAAAGCGGGTTTGGAGGAGCACGTGCCAGTGTGAAGGGTCTGTTGGACCCCAGCACAAATGGGGATTAGGGAGGAAGGCAAGCCACAGGGTCCAAGGGGGTCCTGGGAGAGCCAGCATAAGCACAGTTGAGTCTACTTCATCCCCTGGGGGCCCTGGACACTGGAGCAGACAGAGAACTGGATCAGGACAGATTCTGGCTGAGCCCAGCCCCCAAGGCAAGGGCTGCTACTGGCTTGGGGGCCCCCGAGCTTGCCCGCCACTGGGGCCACTCTGGGTCTGTGTCAGGGAAGACAAGTGGGAGGGTTGAAATGAGCCAATGCTCTCAGGAGGGTGGGCTGCTGTTACCCCTCCCTTGACTACCCAGTTAACACAACAGAAGTGGCCAAACCAAGCCCTCTGCCTGCGAGTCCATGCTGACAGGAGTCAGCAGTCCTGGACAGGGTTTCTGAGACTGGAACACCCTACCTGAGCAACCTGCTTTTCTTCCTCCTCAAAGCAGCTACTGGGTTTGCAGTACAGACCTTGCGGAGCCCACCCAGACCCAGGGCCCCAAGGGCTGAATGAGCCCCAGAAGACTGGCTTGGGAAGAGGCCGATGGGAAAATAGTTGGCACTCGAGCCCTGCCCTGGTCAACTCTGGGGTCCTCAGGAACCGGGCTCCCCACCTGGGCGATGGGTTTCGGCCTGACTGATGTCAGTGTGCACCCCTGGGGTCTCACGGCATGTCTCTCCAACACCCAGTTGCCCCTCACCCCCAACCCAGAGCCCCTCCTTCCAGGTGCCAGGGACGACAGGAACCTCGAGCAACTGATGCATGTTTTATTCACAAATAAAGGCTGTCTTGGGTGTTATCTACACAGTTGTACAAAAGATTGGGTGCAACCCAAGGGTCCCCACCCTGCCCAGGGTGCCCCAACAGAGCCCACCCTATAGCTAGAGGGAGCCAGCCAAGGGATGTCTTCTGTATAAAAACATAAAAACAGACCATTTGTCTTCAAAACCCCACTGCAAACGCTGTATCCAAAAGCAAAACAATATAAGAATAGGAGCCTAGCAAACCTTACAAAACCCTTGTGCCCCCCATATTTTTACATGTGTTGTGGTTTTCTGCTGTGGTTTTGGTAAGAATTCCTGCCGTGGACTGAGGCACCATGCATTCCCTGAAGCCCTGCCTCCCCTCTACCACCCCCACCATGCAAGGCCAGTGGGAACAGGTGCCAGGAGGGCAAGGCCTGTGGCCACCCAGCCTCGCAGAGACCCCCAGAGAGTCGGCAAGGGTCCTTCAGAGAGGAAAAATCATCCTGGATCCTATACAAGACTCCTGGCAGGCACGGAAATCCTGCTTTGGACCACGCCTGGCTGGGTCTACATGTACAGCGGCCAGGCTCCCAGCAGCACAGGGGTGTGGGCCCCATGCAGCCCATCTGCTGCTGTGTCCAGTACTTAGCACCAAATACACAAAGCTGAACAGTACTTCTCAAGGTAAAGGCACTTGCGTGGCTGTTTGGTGGCGGCGGTCTCCCCGGCCTGCTCACTCACTCACTCCCACTCGCTCCTCTTTCACTTGCTCCTGGTCCTCCAACTCTGCCAGCTCCCCTCCCCCGCACTGGCTCACCTCTCTGAGACCAGTGGTCCTTCGTCCTATTCTCGTCCCTCTTACACTGTCACATCCTCGCCCCCTCACACCTCCCAGTCTCACCACCCTGGGCACGTCCCCTTCTGGCTGGTCCAGCCCCCCACCCCACCCCACCCCCAGCCTCAGACGTCCACCTCCTGCAGCCCAGGGGCAGAGGCGGAGGCTGAGACATCGAAGCAGGTGACCATCATGACGTGCGCCTTGCACAGGTTGACACATTGCTCCAGGGCCGCCGTGGCCTGCTCCAAGGCCTTCAGGTACTCAACCGATTCAGGCTCCAACTGCGGGTCCACCTCAACTGGAGGGCAGTGGACACAGGTCAGTTCATAAGCCACACAGAACACCGAAGACTCAGTGAGTAGGAGGGGGACACTCACATTGATCCAGCCAGCGGCCCGGCTCCACCATCAGCCGGCCCTGGGTCTCCGCCAATTCCTCACACAGACGATCCCTCCGAGCCTGCACCTCACGAAGACGCTGCAGTCTGCGCTCCGCCAGCCGCAGCCGGACGCCTGCGCTCGCCAGGCCCTGGGGACACACGGGCTCTGGACACAGCTGTTCCTACCCACAGCCCGGACCCCAACACCCAGCTCTGCCACGGTGGGGCCAAGCGATCGTGCCCCCTGCCCACCCCCTCCCCCGGAGCTTCCGTTCCCTGTACAGAAAGGGCTGTGCACAGAGGAAGGGCAGGGTCAGTGGACTCGAACATGCCTCCATCACCCGCTCCCCCAGCAGGGCCTCCGGGACCCCACCCCGCCAGCCCTGGGCCCTGACCTCGGGGGAATCCTCCCGACAGGCTGCCCGGTGGCGCTGCAACCTCTGTACATCGTCAATCTCGTACACCTTGATCTCAAAGGGCTCCTTCAAGGCGCCGGCCAGGGGGGGCGGCAGGTCCACCCACTGCCCGGGAAGGCTGGGTTTGCGGCCCAGGGCGGTGGCGTCGGGCAGCGGGGCTGGGATCAGCCTTCGCCGCTGCAGACCTGAGCAGACCGTGAGCATGTGAGCACCAAGCCCACAAGGGAAGACTAGCCGCAGTGGGCTAGAGGGCAGGTCCAGGGGCAGGGAAGGTGACCTCTGGCCTCCCCTCCCCAGGACACAGCCCTGGCCAAGCCCCTCAACCCTCCCAACCCACCTGGTACCAACAGCAGCACCCCTCCCCAAGGCCCCTTCCACCCTCCTCACAAAGTCTGTGCTGCCCACACCCCTACACCAGCCTTCACTCCGTAGATCTCTCCCCCAGCACAACCCAGGACCCCTAGAACCGAGGATCTGGGGACAGCCAGGTAGCCGGGAAAGGAGCACACCAGTGGGAAACCCCACAAAGTATGTCTGCTCCTAACTCAGCCAGGCCCTTGCTGGGTGACCCCACGGGGAGGCAGCCTCGGGCAGCTGTGGGGGGCAGGCCTGTCTGTAAACTGAGGGTCTTGTGCACCTGGGGTCTATGAGGCCTGTCTGCCAGGTCTCTGAGATTTATAAACTACAGAAAGCTGAACACCACACACAGGGAAAAGCTCTGAATGCACTTGTACACCGTCCAGGGCCGTGTGGACAGGGCCCCTTGCACCTTCAGAAAATGCTCACCTGTGCTCCTCTTCTTGGGAGACCTGAGGCTCCGGGAGCGGGCACCCGGGGACGCAGCTCCGCTTTCACTCATGGAGTCGGGGGCTTCGCTGTCGCGCATCACGCTCTCGTAGCCACTGCTACCCCCGCTGTGGTAGAAGAGGGCCGTGCGGCCCATGGCAGGTGGGAGCTCCCCACTCAGCACACTGCTGTTGTCACTGCCATGCCCGCTACTGTAGCGCTGGGGCCGCCTGGGGGCCGTCACCTTGCTGTAGGGTGAGGGCAGGGCTGGACCCGCAGGTGGACGCTCCTCCCCAACCTGCACGCCGCTGTCATTGCCGCTATCAGAGTCCGCCACACCCCATGAGGGGCTGCTGTGGACCGGGACACCGCCAGCCGCCAGCTCATGGACACGGCTGTGGGCAGCCCGCAGCGCCTGCTTGGTGCCCATGACGGTGCCCCGGCCGGCCTTGGCCCCCACATTCGGTGCCACCCTCGAAGCAGCCCTGGGGCTCACCGCAGGGCCACTGGGGGTCCTCACTGAGGTGCTTAGAGCTCTGGCCCCACCAGCTACCAGGCTGCGGCCCTTGCCCCCTGCAACCGGGGGCTTTGGGGTCCCTAGACCCTTTGCAGGACTGCCCCTGCAAGGCCCCGGCATGGGGCTGGCAGACGGTGTCCCCAGTCTGGGCACAGCCCGGCCTGGCCGTCCAGAAGCCTCTCTGACCCTGCTGCTGACCTGCGACAGTCCCTCTGGCCGTTCGAGCAAAACTGGCCCTGGGGGACGGTGCACAGCCTCAGCCTTGCCAGTCCGAACCTTCAAGCTGGACGTGGTCCTGGGAGGGGGCCTGGCCTCCTCTTCCCCTCGGAAGGCAGCAGCCGCGGCAGCACGGGATAGGCCCACAGCCAGGGCAGGGGCCAGGGGTGGGCTGCTCTTGGGCTCCAGGCTGGACTTGCGCACAGGAGGGGTGGGGGGCACCATTCCACCAGGCCGAGGGAGGGGGCCACCCTTGGGAGAGGTGCCCTTCTTGCTGGAGGCCGCCCTCAGGCTGCCGGGTGAGGCGGCCAGCGTGTCCCCGCAGGATGCCACAGGCGTGGTCACACCCAGTGTAGTGGCACCCCTCCGCAGTGGCGGGATGCGTGCCTCAGGACGCCGGACTGGCCTGCTGGCCATCTCACACCCGTCCACCACCCTCTGGGCACAGGCCGGCAACGCTTGGGCCTCAGGCGGCCAGGAGGGTCCCTGGGCAAGGGTGAGGGCCACTGGTATCACATCAGCCTCATCCGCACGGAGCAGCCATGGGTCCTGGGACAGACCCTCAGGCTCTGGGGAGCTCTGGCCCAGGCACGGGCCGCCCTCTCGGGTGGCAGAGGTAGTTCTGAGTTTCCGGGGAAGGCTAGAATGGATGGTCTGCGCTGGGGGTGGTCCACACAGCTCCCTGGAGGCCTCAGGGACCAACTCGCCCCCTCCAGGGACCTGGACTGGACTGTCTGATCTGCCCTGCTCTGGGGAGCCCTCTTGGCTGGAAGGTCCCCTCAAGCCAGACCCCGCCATCGAGTCAGGGCTGGCCCGGAAGGAGGGCTGCAGCACAGGGCTGTCGGCCACACAGACGCTGACCTCACTGAGCCAGGAGCTGATGGAGGAGCCGTGGCTGCTGTCGCTGCCAACCCAAACCTCATCGGGGTGTCTCCCAGGGCCATCGGCGGCCTGTGAGGTGTCCAGGTGCCCCCCAGGGCCGTCGGCGGCCTGCGAGGTGTACGCATCAAACTCGTCATTAATACTGCTGATGATGCTCACGGGCCTGGAGCCCGAAGCCAGAGCCTGCAAGGAGCAGTTACTGCCAAAGCTGGAAAGGCTGGCGGGCCGGGGATGGGCGAGGCTGCCCAGCGGCAGCTCCTCCACCACTGTGAACACCAGCTCGTCCTCCCCATTGAGTTCCACGGGCTGCTGCAAGGTCACTGTGGTGGTCAGCAGGCCACGGTCTAGGCAGCGGCCTCGAGCTGGCAGGCGTGGGCAGCCTGCAGGAGGTGTCCGGACCGTGGTGCCTGGGTCCCCTGGCCCAGACTCTTCCCTCCAAGGAGGCAGTGGAGAAGCAAGGCTGGACAGCTCCGGCCAGGGACCACTGTCCTTTTTCTGCTCTCCCTGGACGCCTGCCCTCGAGGTATCCGGGGTGATCCCGAGGGGGTCTGGACTGGGGCTGCCGAGAGGCATACAGGCTGTAAGCAGGGTGCCTGTGGCCTTCCTGGGCGCGGCCAATTCGGGGGGCTTCCTGACTGCACGGGCAGGGCTGGCTGCGGGCACCGAGGGCCCCTCATTGCCGTCGATGAAGTCCAGCCGTTCCTGCAGCTCGGCGAAGGTGCTGCAGCGGAAGTGGTCACAGTCTGCGTCACGGGGACCCTCTGAGGGCCGGCGTCGACCCAGCGCAGGTATGATGGGCACAAAGTCAGGGGGAGCCTCGTTGTCCGTGAGCTCGCGGTCCGACAGTGCTGCCCCGCCAGGCCCCACATAGATGACGGTGTCACATGACTGATCACTGCTAGATGAGCACTCGGGGTCACCAGGCGTCCGGCGAGCGGAGTCCAGGGCCGTGGTGCGCTGGGGGCAGGGCCGCGGGGCAGGGGGTCGTCGAACACGGCCCTCCTCGCAAGAGCTCTCTCCACCTGAGGAGCTGGACGCATACTAGGGGAATGGGAGCAGGGGAGGACCAGGTCAGGGGTCAGCGTCCCTGCCCACACAGCTCCTAGCAGGAACCATACCCTCTCCCACCCCTACAGCAACATGGCAGCCAGCCCTGCAGCCCCGTCCCACGGAGCACAAGACAGACCACTGACCCCCACGGGCAGCAGCGCCTTCAGACGCCTGACGCAGCACGCCATCAGGCCCAGGGTGAAGCAGGCAGGGTATGGCCACATAGGTACCCCGACCCCCCGGCACACACTGCAGCCAGAACTGCGGCCCTACTCGCCTTGGCCTTCTTCCTGCGCAGGCGGTGGATGCGAGCGGCCAGCTGCACCGTGCTGAGCGTCTCCGCGTGGCGAGCCGGCGCATCCGAGATGTGTACTATCATGGTGGTGTGGCAGTTGGTGGTAGCCAGGGACTCCCGAAGCAACATTGTCAGTCTTTGCTCCCTGGGGCCAGAGGGGGGCTCAGGCCAGGGTCCAGCTGGAGTGTACCACCTCCATCCCCACTCCCTGGGGTCCAGACTGACCCCTCACCTGTAGGGCACATGCTTGGCTCCGTTGACCAGGGCCAGGATGACGCTGCCCAGGGCCGACAGGGACAGGCACAGGGGTGCCCCAGGAGGTTCCATGCCACGGCTGGGTGCCAGTGGCTCACAGCTGCCCAGGTCGATGAGATGCAGACGGCTGCGTCCCCCAGACACTGCGACAGAAAACAGGTAGTGAGCACGTCCATGGCCCAGACCCGCCCTCACAGGGGACATCTCAGGGACAGAGGGTCAGGAAAGGTGGGCCTACTCTCAGCTACTAAGGAGCTCTGGTAGCGTAGTGGTTACGAATCGGGCTGCGAACCTTAAGGTCAGCGGTTCGAAACTACCAGCCGCTCCGCGGGAGAAAGATGAGGCTTTCTACTCCCGTAAAGATTTACACCCTCGGAAACCCTGTACAGGGTCGCTGTGGGTTGGAACCGACTCATGGCACTTAACAACAACTCTATGTATACCACCCATGCTCATACACACACACAACCCGTGTACACTTACACCACTCTGTACACACATACCACCCATGCATACAACAGGCATGCAAAACACAAACCACTCAGGAACACAAACACCTGCACACACCTATACACTGCACACACCCCTGCATATATACCTGTATACATCACACTAACCTGCACACACCTACACACGCCCCACACACCTGCAAACACCGTGCATACACCATCACACACACCATATACACACCTGCACATACCATGTGCACACATGCAGACACCTGTACACACCTGCACACACACACTGTGCACACAAACTTCCCCGGGGCGGGCTGCACCTACTTCCGCCACGGCCACACTTGGGCATGCAGTACTGGTAGACATGCAGCGTGAACAGCAGGTGGGAGCTGCGCCGGGCATCCTCGCTGCAGCCGGGCCGGCTGGAGCTGCGAGCAGCTAGGGCCGCGTCCAGGTAGAAGGCCGCCCTCTCAGCTGTTGGCGCCCGAAGCTCACTCTGGTTCTGGAGCTGAGGGGGCAGCCAGTGCGTGAGTCCCCCAGGACAAGGAAACACACCCCACATCCCCCCCATGGGGCCAGCATACCTGCGCCCCACAGACGGGGTCCTCCCTCAGGTACACGCCTGGGGACTGAGTATCCTGGAGGCTGCCAGAGGCCAGGTCGGCCAGCAGGTCATGAAGGCTCTGGTCACGACCACACACCTCCACGGCTGAGACGCGTACAGAGAAGCGAGTGCCCGTGCGCTCCTTGTGTTCATGGATGAGTCTAAAGAGCCAGGAGATGGCACAGGGCACGACGCCCAAGCTCTGCGGCGAGCTGTCCTTCCCGATCATGGTGTAAGACTTCCCTGGGGACCGCGCACAACAGGCATTGAAGGGCCAGCCACCCTGACATCTTCTCCACGAACCGCACCCACCCACCGCGATGGAGTGAGTCCTTCCACACCCGCAGACAGGGACAACAGTGGCCAGGGTGGACTCAGCAGAAGGAATCTAGGTGACGAGTGGGCACTTACCAAGGCTGCTGTGGCCGAAAGAAAAAATGCAGCCGTCGGCCCCACTGACCACAGCTTGTAAGACATCAGCCACAGTTCCCGAGCAGACTTCCGCCTGAGGGGGAGGGGTACACAGACTGAACTGGGTTGCAGGCGTGCACACACAGTGCACGGAACGGAACATACACCACATGAACAGGCACACCCGTGCACGCCATCACACACTCCGAGGACCCAGGATAGGGGCTAAGATGAAACAAGTCATGTTCACACACACCAAACCACGGCTCCTCCCCTGTGTGTGCGTCTGCCGGACCTCACAGGCCAGAGCGCAGAGCCAACAGGCCATCCCCGAGGCCCAGCCACGGTACCTGCTCAGAGTCCTGGGGAAAGACGGCATCAAAGGCAAACAGCCTGGGCACTGCGGCAGTGGCGGCGCGCCGAGGGCCAGCACTGCCTGGGGGACCAGCAGCCGGGTCATAGAGGGTCACCTGTTTCTTCCTCGGGTCCACCTTCAGAAAGGACATGGACTCAGCCGAGCGCTGGGTGCCCTTCGAGGACCAGATGCGCAGCGTAACTCTCACCTGCAGACGGAGGGCGGGTCTGAGCATCAAGGCATCAAGCACCACCAGCAGCCCTCTGGATGCCTAATTACAGGGCAAGAGACCAAGGTGCGCGAGGATCGGCAGGCCAGGACCCAGCATGAACCACACCACAGGAAGGTAAGCAGTCCTGAGTGAGGTCAGCAAGCCCAGGCCCTGCAGGCGAACAGGGCCTTGAAGGTCCAGCCCTCCGTGTGGATGTCCTGAGAGACTGTGGTCTTGAGACTGGTACATGTATCCCAGCACCCTGCTCCCAGGAAGAAGCAACCATCCTCAGGGACCACATGGCACCCTGCTCCCCGAGAGAAGCAGCCACCCTCAGAGACCACGCAGGCTCTACCGCTGGAAACCCGCTCAGAGCCTCTTGGCTGGCAGTCACACCACCTAAAGTGCTCCTGTGTCTGGATGTTTGTGTTCCCACCCCGATGCTGAGCACATTCCTGCCCTCCCCACCCACCCAAGGAAGGGGAGTTGATCACAGCTCCACCCTCCATCCAGGGCGGTCAGGTGTCCCTGTACCCATGTATTCACCCATCCTGGCCGGATGGCTGAACAGATCAGGGCTGGCCAGACACATCCTTGCAACAAGTGTCAGTGGACACCGAGATTCAAGTCTGTTTCCTCTGCGATTCCTCTCTACCCTCATCCCCACAGCCCTGAGGGCCAGGTTCTGGGGGGGGCCAAAAGCAAGAGAACCCAGGAACAAACCCAGCACCCCAACCCTGGGTGTGTGGTGGGTTCTCTTTGTCTCCAGAGCTGGGACACAGGCCAGCACACAGTAGGTGCTGAATAAACAGTGATCAACATCTCCAGTGTTGTTGAGAAAATGGCTTTAAGAGCCCATCCCGGGAGGGGGACGAACAAGAGACCAGGCAAGCAGTGTCATGTCTGCGGACACACCGTAATTGAGGTATCAGGGTGCCACGGGGCTGAGGGACAAGCTGGAGTTGGGCAGTGAGCTGGGGTCCTGGGTTGTACTTCACCCTGGAGAACAGCATTCATTGTCCACTTGCTGATGAACCTTCAGGTTCTCCGTAACAGCGCAAATCGAATTACCCGAGACTCATTTCAGAGCCAATATTTTTCACGGATTTAATTGTAAGTGACAGATACAGAACGCCGGCAAAATTGGTTTACTGCGGATAGTTCGCACGCAGCGCCTCGGACTCCCCTTCGGTGCGTGGCAAATTGATATGCAAAATTGCTCCTAGGCAGGAACCTCCCTAAGACTCCGCGCCTTTGTACTTCTGAGAACCTGGCTCCATTAGGCAAGAATCGATTCCTTTATCCCCGGTGACACGAACAAAACTATTTCATTTCCAAGCGCCGCCGCCAAGCAGACGAGAATGTGCGCTTGCCAGTAATTTTTGGTGGATTTTTTTTTTCAGCGTGACCTCTCTCCACCGATTCAGGAGCCAAATGGGTTCTGCGGCTTTGAGAGTTCCTGGCGGGTGGGGGGCGGAGAGCAGTCCTGGAGAAGCCGGTGATTTCACTCTCCACAAGAGATGGGCTGCCCGCTGGAGCAACGATATTAATCCCGGCAGGAGGGGCAGCGGTCAGGGAGGGGGTCAGAGGGGCCAGCCTGGCCTGGACAAGCAAGCCTGGCCATTGTCTGAGATGGAGAATCCTGTCATTATCCCGGAAACGAAGGGGTCTTTGCACGCGACCAGCACATCAAATCTCTCCCCTAAATGTTCAGATATGACAAAGCCCCACTGAATAGATAATTCAGGAAGAAAAAAAAAACACATTTTGCATAAAAAAGGGCTTGCAGCTCCCCAGAGGGGGTCTGGGCAGATGAGGGGGGAGGGGCGCCAGGCACCCACTGAGCAGCGGATGTCTTTTAATACCACAATATGATGGATGTATGAAACCAAAAGAGATTCTAACTTCTTTTCCATGGCAGTATTCAATGCCTTACAGGAGGTGTCTGTGACTGCTGAGAGACCCCAGAGTGGAGGGGCATGTGGGGGGGGAGGGGTTCTGCATGCAGATGACAGAGTATGAGCTCAGAAATCCTCGGTGGGGCAGGCTCCCAGGGGAGACAACGGGGAGGCGGTCACCCCCTGATTAATAATATAAAACATCAACAGGGGCAGCGAAGGCAGTTCCAGTGTCCATAGTGTCCACCACAGGCTAACCAACGTGCGGACAGCCAGTAACCTCAAAGTTGCCCTCTCAGCAGGCGCTGGCCCCACTCTATGGCAGATGGAAAAGCTAGAAAGCCCAGGCAGGCCAAGCAGGAAGACCCGGGTCAACCAGCAGAATCTACCAGCAACTCTGCAGTTCATCAGTGTCCGGCAGGTTGGAGACCAGCTGAAGAGGGTGGACAGGCTGAGAGGCAGGGTCAGGCAGGCCTGCATCCCATCACAGCCCACCTCCATGCCCTCAGTACTGCCCGGGCAGGACCACCGTGACTCAGCAGAGCAGCCCCCCACCCCAGAGCCTGTAGCTGTGGCAAGGTTGTTGGTGTCACCAGGGAGCCAGGTGTCAGGTGTCATGGACCCGAGCCCAGCAAAAACCACTGCCCACTCCTACACCATCCTCAGAATATTCGCTGTATCTGAGTCCAATGTCAGTCCACCTCGGTGCAGTCTTCCTCTCACTCACTGGACAGGGCTGTACACCTCATGCCCACTCCCACACCTCATTCCTCAGGTGGGGCCTCCCTGGGCACCCACTGCCCCCTCCCAAGAGCAGCCAACCTGAAAGACCGGACTGAACTGCCCTGGGGAAGGGGCTGGAGGACTTCACCCCAGAGAGCCCTAAACAATCATTACTCATGGTGGGGACCTCAAGGGGGTTACAGTCCCAGCCAATGTGACATGGCCTCAGAAGTCCTGGATCTGACCTCCAGGTGGCCAGCGCAGCAGGCCCTTCCCTGTGGGGCCCTACCTGCTTCCCTCCCTGCTACCCTTGTTCTGAGGGTATGACCTCAGCTGAGGGGTCACAGACCCACCCCAGTCCCATCCTGAAGGCAGGAAGGCAGCCCCCCAGCAGACCCCCCGGACCTAGGTGTCCATTCACGCTCCAGGGTAGCCCACCATGCTCTGTGCCCCCAGCCCGTCTCCCCATCTGTGCCAGCCTGCGAGGAGATGTGGGTTCCTACTCCAGTTGATCTTCTCTGCCCCATTCCCAGGGTACCCGACTTGGGACGGGGTTTACCTTTCCAGTGCTGCAGGGGGTGTCCTTGGCCTTGGCAACCCTGAGTAAGCAGGGGGGTATGGGGGGCGGCCACAGCTGCAGGACGCCGCTGAAGTCCGTGGGGTAGGCAGAGGCAGTGCGCGCCGCAGGGGCCGGTGGCGGCGGTGGTGGGGCCTTCTTTCGCTTGGAAGCCAAGCTGAGCTTCTGGGCAGCCCTGCAGGGAGGAAGGGGCTCAGCACAGGCGGTTCCCACCACTGAGACCCCTGGTTGTTGTTAAGTGCCGTCGAGTCGGTTCCAACCCATAGCGACCCTGTACAGGGTTTCCGAGGATGTAAATCTTTACGGGAGTAGAAAGCCTGATCTTTCTCCCACGGAGCAGCTGGTAGTTTCAAACCGCTGACCTTAAGGTTCACAGCCCGATTGGTAACCACTACGCTACCAGAGGCCCCTGGTAAAAGTACTGAATTCACAGCTCTGAAGGTGGGGAGCCCACAGCCCCCACAGCCCCATGGGCATTACAGGAATGCAGATGATTTCATGCCCCACCCCAAACCAAAGGGCCAAAACCACCGCATCCAGGTGTGAACAAGTCCTCTTGGAGGTGTTAATGCAGTTTCTAGAGCTGGGGGTGCAGACATCAGGACTCCCAGCCTGCTCGTATGCATACAGACACACAGACACTGTGTACAGATGCCGTGCACACAGATGCACACACACGCCAGTACATGTACACACAGGGGCACACTGATGCATTCAAGCAAGCACACACATTCATTCATATCAGGGTAACACAACCACACAGTTGTGTGCAGGCACATGTGCCCAGAGCAACACACACACTTACACAAATACACTCACAATAGTGCTGTGGTTGTTAGATGTCGAGTCGGTACCGACTCACAGTGACCTTATGCACAGCAGAACGAAACACTGCCCGGTCCTGGACCAACGTCACTATTGTTGCCATACTTGAGCCCATCGATGCCACTTTGCCAATTCATCTCGTTGGGGGTCTTCCTTTTTTTCTCTGGCCCGCCACCTTAACAAACATGATATCCTTCTCCAGTGACTGGTCCCTCCTGACAATATGTCCGAAGTATGAGAGATGAAGTTTGGCCCTCCTGGCCTCCAAGGAGCACTCTGGCTGCACTTCTTCCAACTCAGATCTATTGGTTCTTTTGGCAGTCCATGGCACTTTCAATATTGCCCTCCAACACAGTAACTCAAATGCATCAATTCTTCTACAGTCTTCCTTATTCACTGCCCAGCTTTTACATGCATATGAAGTTATTGAAAATACCACGGCTTGGCTCAGGCGCACTTTAGTCCTCAAAGCATGTTTCAGTAACATGGTGCTGACTGTGTACCACTGCTATCAGAAGGTTTTCAATGACTAAATACTCAGAAGTAGCCTGTCTCTCCTCCTTCCTAGTGTGTCTTCTTCTGGAAGCTCAGCTGACACCTGTCCACCGTGGGTGATCCTGTGGTATTCAAATACTGGTGGCATCGCTTCCAGAATCCCACACACACATGCCACCACAGTGCGACAGACTGACAGCCGAGGGGTGGCATGCAGGTGCAGCACACACAACCACACACATGTACCTCAAATACAGGCACACAGAGTAACACACAATCACACATGGCTGTAGCACACTCATATGCAGGCACACGTGCAGAGTGGCACACCTACACACACACAACCACACCCATGCACACATGGGCACACAGTGCACACACATACGCAATCACATGCATAGAACATGCCCATATACATACTCACGCAGTCACACATGTGCACACACAATCACACACAACACACACTCACATGCAGGCACACATATGTGCACCCAGAACGACACACAATCACACAAATTTGCATGTTTATACACAAACACATGCTCGCACACACATTCTTACACACTCATATGCAGACACACGCACACAGCGGCACACCCACACTTCTATAATCTTACACACAGCCACATGCTTACACACATAAGCATGCGCTAACCAGCACCTATCACACACACATACAGCCCTCACAGCACCCCCAGCACCGAGTCCTCTCAGGAACCAGCTTCTCCATCCATCCCTGGGGTTTCCTCAGCATTCCAGCAGGCCCTACCCCCACCTGCACACGTGTCCCCAGGGACCCATCATGCTGGGCAGCCTGGACCAAGGTCTCACTGGGAGGTGGAGCATGTGGGGGTGACCTGCACCCGCTCCCCTTCCTCAAAGCTCCCTGGGGGTGACCCAAGCTTATGTTGTCTCCTCAGAGGGACGCCAAAGTGGCCAGCTGTCTGGAACCCAGGGCGGAGCCCCAGCCCCCTCCCTGAGCTGCTCTCCTCTTTAATCGTAGTTGTCTTTTAAGAGACTCCAGGGACGACTTTTCCCTTCAAAAGGCGTCATCACAGAAAATAAACGTAATCTCCAGCCTGGAGCCGGGCACCCGGCGGAGGGGAGGGCACTGAGCTCCGGCTGCATCCTCACACACAGACAGGGCCTGAGGCCCAGAGCCACACACACACACACACACACACACGCACACACGCCAGCACATGCCGGCATGTCTGTGAATCCCGTTTATGGGCAGACTGCAGGCAGAGTCATCCACGGGCAAAGAGAGAGTGGTGGTAAGAACAGGCTGGGAGCCAGGGTGGGTGCTGGGGGAGGCATGGATCAGCAGGCAGGACTGTATCCCCGCGGGAAGGTCTGAACCAGCTCTGGATCCTGTTGTTAGGTGCCTTGGAGTGAGTGTGCTCTGCAAGGCGCCGTAGGCTTTGTCTTTATGGAAAGATTGCCAGGTCGTTCTCCCTCGGAGCCTCTGGGTAGATTCGAACCAACAACCTTCTCATTGCAGTGAGGACCCAATTCCATCTAATTCTCTGTGCCACTCTCCCCGCTGGGAGAAGGAAGCTGGAGCTCTAACTGTTGACACTGTGGTCCTCCCTCCCTCCCACCACAGACACAGAGGGGAGGAGGGGGTCACTTGAGAGGATCAGGGACCCCTCCACCCTCGCTTCTTCATCTGGAAGTGGGTCCTCCAGAGTGGGGTGCACACAGGTGCTGGGGTACTTTGGGAGGGGGAGGAGTCTGATTTCACTGAGGTCTGACCTGACCAATCACAATTCAGGGGTGTGACTCAGAGTTAGTGAGGCCCTGCAGTACTTTTTCCTGGGAACCTGGGTGTGCCCAAAGCCTAAGCACACACACACCCCACTTGGCAGTTGTAGGGAGCACAGAACCGGGTCCTGAGCAGAATGGGAGGAGCAGATTGGTGTGGAGGGAAGGGATTTGTTTCTTACATGAAGACTGAAAAGCAGGAGCCCCACCTGACAACATGCCCACCTCAGAGGTCACCTCCTCCAGGAAGTCCACCTTGATCCCTCAGTCCTTGTGCCTAGATGTCCCAGGGCCACCCCCTACCCTGAGATCCCTGTTTGCACAGACGGATGGATGGACAAACGAAGGAACAAGGGAGGAGGCAGATTCCTCCTGCAGGCCCTGGCCACGAGTCATATAAAAGGACCCCAGAGGTATATAATAGGAAGGGACCCATTTCGCCTTTTAGCAAAGAAAAGTAGCTTCCCAGAAGAGAAGACACCTGTTCGGACACATGAGGGTCAGTTAGGGTCAAGTCGGCACACCCTAACTGCCGGGATGCGCTGTCCCTACACCCAGCCCCTGGACTCTGAGAGCCCCCCCCCAGAGCCACCCCTTCTTTCCCAAGGAAGTAAAGGCAGAGCCACTCATGGGGTCCAACACCCTAATTCAGACGCCACCAGACTCTACTCCAGAGCCCCACCCACCAGACTCCTATTCAACCCTCAAAGCCCATTTGTGGCCACAGCCCCAATCCGGTCCCATGTTTCCATCAAAGATGAACCCCACCTATGACCACTGGCATGGGAACTTCAAGAACAGATGTGGGTGGACTCAGCTCTGCACCTCCAAGTCCTCCACAGAAAGCAGGGGTGCCCCGGAACATACCTAAGGCCCCAAGTGGACCCTGAACTAGCCCCTTCCTCTCCCTGACTCACAGCTCCAAAATGAGGAGGGGGGTCAGGGACAGATATTGCCAACCTGAGCAAGTTCACTGGGCACACTGGGGTCAGCTTCTGGGCAGACTGTGCACCCCTGATACCCAAGGCGCCCCTCAGGGAGCTGCCCCAACCCCCAACCCCAGCCTGGTTTTAGGCAGCTTGCTTCTGGTTTCTATGGAAACTTCCCAAGGTCAGCAACGCTCAAGACAAAAGCAGCCGCTGTTGGTGGGTGACCGAGTAGCTCGGGGGCCTGGGCCTGTCTCACCAAGCATCCAGGTGGCCCAGGAACTTGGGGGTGAGGGGCTGCTCCCCACTTGGAGAGTCTCAGCTCCACATCCTCCCATGGTATGGCAGGTGGGGATAGTGGCCCCACAGTCCCCAACGCAGGGCACATGCAGAAGGGCACCCAGGTGGGGGACCCTAGGGGTACTCCATTTCAGGCTGCGGGGATTGCCCCTTCTTGTCCTAGACCTCCCCCTCCCCCTGCCAGAGGCTCCAGGACCTCTGCCAAACCTGGAAGCCCAGGGTCCCAGAGAGATGGCCGGCATCTAACTGGACTGAGGGCCAGCTGCAGCCCATCAGTAATTCCTGGCTGTGTTCCACATGGTGGGCGGGGTTCCTCAGCCATGGCACTCCCCAATCAGCCCGCAGTCCCCCGGGCCCGTACTGATAAGGCCCGCCAGCCAGGCCCCTCAAGATCCAGGGACAAGCTTATCAGCACCAAGAAAGACTGCTAATGGGCCTGTGACCCGAGCCAGCATACCATTACCACTCATTAGCCACAGTTACAGCTTTAATCCCCAGCTTAGCACACAGGGAAAAAAGGGGAGGCCGCCTGGGTCTGAGAACCCCGTCCCTACTGCCAACATGCCCCCAAGGACCTGGTGCCTGAGGCGTGCTGGACGCTCCATGCTAGGGCACCTAGAGAACCCCAGTCCTAGGTATGGGGCACACAGTAGCACCCAAGGTCACCCCCAATGTGGGGTGCTCCAATGTGGTGGGGTTCATGGTGCAGCCCACACTCGGAACTCCCCTCCACACTCCCTGCCTGGACCCAGGCTGCCCCAGCTTCATCATCCTGCACAAATTAGCAGACCTCATAGAGGCCCTAGGGGCTAGAGGCCCATTTGACAGATACAAACACTGAGGCACAGGGCAGTTAAGGGACTTGCCGACATGGCAGCAGAGACTGAGTTCAAACCCACGATGTTTCATACAACTGGCCATGAAGCCCCCCACCTTGACCAGGGGTCCCCACCCACTGAGGTGAGATGTCCCCAGTGTCTCCTCAGGCACACACCCCTGCCCGCTACTCACACAGCCCCTCGCCCACATGGAACACCCACCCACAGACCACCTTGGACCCCCACATGCTGAGGTCTGGAGTACGTACCTGATGAAAAAGGAGGCTGCAGCCGACGGCCCTGCAGAGCCCACCACAGTGGGCGCTGGGGTGACCAGGGCTGTGGTACAGGTCCCAGCAAGGCCCCATGCCTGGGACAGGCCATCGGGACGCATGGACGGGGGGCCGTCTCGGACCGACTCCGCCACCGCCACTGCAGCTACTGCCGCCTCCGCCTGCAGGGAGATCAGAGAGCTTGGGAAGGGTCAGCGAGAGGTCAACAGCTCTCACAGCTGAAGACTGGTCACAGCACTTCCAACTCAGAGGCCTGAACCCCGACACCATCCCAGAAAAGGGTCCAGTCACCCCTGCCTGCTCAGTCTCTGCCTGAGGGGGACAGCACCAGGCTCATTGTGCACAGGCTGACGAGGGGCCCTGGAACCCCGCTTCAGCACTGTGGGGATACCACAGGCCTAACTCAAGAGGGACCCACAGTAAATATTGGCCAGAGTCCTAATTGCTTCACGAGCGGTAATTTACCATGGTCCTATCGTCAGAGACAGCGCTGGCATCCCAGCTAATCAGCTAAAACGAATTCCAGAAAGAGAGCCGGTCTCATAATGACGCACAAATGCAATTAAACGCCCCCCGACGGGCGGGCGGGCGCCGGCAAACTTGAGGATGCCGCTGCTACCGCCGTGCCCTGCACATGCCATATGGGGCATGTCGGCCCACACCCCAGGGCTGCCACCAAGCCACTCAGCCTGGTCCTGGTCCTGATCCTGGTAGGGGCCTGGTGGGGGGCATAGCCCCCAAGAGAGCTGGAAAGCAGCTTGCTTCAGAGAGGGGCTCCTCAGGACCTGTTCCTCAAATGCCCATTTCCCAACCCGCTCACTGCCATCAACTCCGAGAATTCAGTCTGCAACCCTCTGTGAGCCTGGCAGGACACGGTGCCCCACACAGTTGACCGTGAGGAACCAGGATGGTGTCTCCTAGACGACACAGCCAGAGACCGGGGTGGCCCACAGGACAAACTGCTGGGCCTGGGAGGGAGGCCGAGAGCCCAGCTTACCACAGCAGGGGGCCCACCCCCACCCCCAGGGCTGTTTCTCAGTCAGACAGGAAGCAGAGTCTGCAAGAACAGATCCACCAAGGGGAACCCCACAGGCCAGGTGGAGGTCAGTCACACCCACCCTGCTGCCCACAGCCTGCTGCCCCAGCTGCCAACCCCAGGGCTTCGAGAACAGAGAAGTCTAGGACCTTACCAACTCTGCTGGCCAGAGCGCACATACCTGGAGAGCCAGGCTGTACCTAGCTCTCAGGAGGAACTCCTATAAAGCCCTCAAAACCCAGCCAAGCCAGCCCTCTCCTCAGGCACTCCCTACCCAGTGCCTTGCCTGTCCTTCCCGAGTGTTTGGGCCTCTCTTGAGCCCGCCCCTCACCCTCCCATCCCCCATGCCATGATCCCACCACAGAGGACCAGGGTCATGCTGCAGCCCAGTACACTCTTGTCCTACCTCCGCAAGAGCCCGGAACTCTAGAACCCAGGAGTACCCACCACCCTGCCCGCCCGCCTCCTGTCTGCGGTCTGTAGGTGTTTAATGCACCACAGCCCACCCCAGACTCCAGGTGATCAGGGCAGTCATGTGGACAACTCCGCCTGAGACCAGGAGACATGAGGGCAGGGAGCAGGGGGCACATGGCCTGCATGGATGCTCAGGAGGGGCGCCAGCCCGGCCAAAATCGAGCAACGAAGACCAGAAAGGGGTTGCTCTCCCATGTGGGCATACAGCTGTGCCCCTTTGATGACTTAGTTCACGTGTGCTCTGAGGGGCACTCCCTGCTTTGTCAGAATGAATGACTGTTACAATGTGCTGACGTCAACCACCAGGGCCCAAGACCCTCGGAACAGCATCAGGCTGGGCAGGACAACCAGGGGCATCGAGGGTGGGCAGCACTGGTACCCAGAGTGGGCTACTCTCAGCCCCTAGGGGGACATACCCAGGGATGGGTCTTGGGACAGCTCCTATGACACTGCCCACCTCCAACGTGGGCCCACGGCTGGAGGATCTAACATTGGGGGTATAGCCAGTGCCCGCTGCCTCACTACAACTCTACATGGCACCGCCTGGCACGCGAGCACACCAGCCCAGTGCCACACTGACCTGTCTCAGGAGGTCCCGAGCACGCCTGGCTCCGCCACCGTCCCCACGCGCTGCTGGGACGCGGCTCCGTCGATCGGAACGGCCAGGCCGATCCCTGCCAGAAGCAGAACCCAGGCATGCCAAAAGAAGCCGTTTGGCAAAGCGAGAGGAGGAGGAGGAGGGAGGGGGGACGGCGAGAGGGAAGACCACAACACAGGGAGAGGAGAGAGGGGGTCACAGAGCAGGGAGGCGGGCGGGCGGGTGGGCGGCCAAACAGAAAAACGAGATGAGACTCAACAGTAGCAACGAAAGGAAAAGTGAAGAGAGGAAAGTGAGACAGGCCCGCCCCGACCCACATAGTGGCCCCTGCCCAATCACACAGCTGCTCCTAGACACACCCCTGTCTGCAGGACACGCCCCCTCCTAGCAGGCACAGGCCCTCTGGCCTTAGGGAAGAGACCTGGCACCCTAAGGCGATTCCTGCCCTGATCTTTAGGGAATCCCATTGGCCTCTGGGGGCTCTGGAGTTTCATGGCGCACAGTCTGGGAAAACCTCAAGCTGACCCTTCTCTGTGATGCCCCAGCCCTGGACCTCACAGATTGTCTCATGCTGGAAGGCAGGGAAAAGGCAGAAGGCAGTAAGGTGGGGTGTGAGTAGCTAGGGGCTGAAACAGCTGGGCCCCACCCATTTATGGATGAGAATGGTCCAGCACCCCCCCAACATTCAGATGCACCGGTCCCCCAAACTCCAACCCTGAGAGTTTCAGGGTGTGGACAGGCAGCCTGGGTCAGGACTGCCCACTGCCTGCAGAGTCAACTAAGTAAACTGAGGCCTGAGGGTGGACACTGGTGCTGAAACGGAGCCTCAGTGGATGTCAGGGGCCACCCAGCTCCCTCCACTGTCCTCCCCTCTAGGCCAAGTCTCTGAGGATGAAGTTCGCAGGGAACACCCAGAACTTGGGGGGAGTCCGGCTGGCACTGCATCAACAGCCCCAAGCCAGTGTTTCTCCGCCACTGGAGCCAAAGCCCAATGCCAACAAGTCAATTCAGACTCATCGCGAGCCTGATGAATAAAGAAGGACTGCCCGCAGTTCCCAAGACTGCAAATCTATACAAGCACAGCTTCATCTTTCTCCACGGAGCAGCAGGTGAGTTTGAACCACCAACCTTGCAGCTAGCAGGCCAATGCTTAGCCCATAGTGCCATCAGGGTTCCTCACTAAAGACTATCTCCCCACCACCACATGGTCCAGGTCAGCAGCAGCACCTCCTCAAAGAAACCCTCCAAGCTGGATACCTCAGCCCCAGCCACACTACCCAGCCAGATAACGGCCTGGACCCAAGGCAGCTGGCCCCATTCCCAAGGAGAACGAAGACCCCAGTGGTAGCGTGCTTTGTGCCTCCCCTGAGTCAGCTGTGCAGCCCCTCAACAGTACCCCTGCCTCAGACCCTGGGCAACAACACACTAATCCCAGTCCAGGCCCGAGGGGGAGGCATCCCCAATGCCCAGCAGCCTCCCCAGAGACCCTGCTCTCTAGGGATGACCAGTACACCCAGTCCCACCCCTGCAGGGCACCCAACTCCATCCCTACAGGACGCCCAGCTCCACCCCTGCAGGACACAGTCTGAAGGAAGTGCTGAAGGAGCCCTGCTGGGTGACAGGGAAATGACCAGCTCTAGGCACTTGAGAACGGGCAGTGAGTCTGGTTTTTGTTACAGCCACAGCCGCCCGCCATGAGCTGTTAGACCAGCCCCACCCGCAGTAAGAACCCCCCTCACAGGAATCATGGGGTATAGCCCCTGGAAAGTTCCAGGCCTGCCCATGGTTCCAGGAGGCTCTAGTGCCCAGGGTGGTCTTCTCAACACCATCATCACCCAGCCCTCCAGCCACCACCCCGCTGCCTTTCTCCCACACTCCTGCCCAGCCTCAGCTTAGAGGGAAGCATCCTCCAGGTGGACATCAAGGTGGGGAGAGCAGCCACAGCCCCCATCGACCCCAAGATCAATGTCTGCCTACAACGTGGTGCTACCACCCAGATGCTGAACACAAGGAGGGTGACGGTCCTGCCGTGGGGTCCACCCCCGCGGGGTCAGCGCTCCAGGTCCCTCTCACCATCACATTTGCTCGGGAAATCACCTCATCTGGTACTAAACTTCCTTTACACGTCTAATATCCGCCTATTGATCACCGGAATCACTATCTAATCATCTAGCTAACGATTCCCTCCCACGCATGAGACAATGAAATGCACGTGAAATGGGGGAGGGCTGCTGAACAGAATGTCACGAGGACCCCCAGGAGAGTTACCTCCCCCTGCCAGCAGAGCCTTACAGACGCCCCCACCTGCTTCCTGAAGCTCAGGGCGGCCCAGGGAGGGCGGCGGGGAGGTAGACTCAGGAGAAGAGGGGCTTGTCTCCGCTCTGACTTCAGTTGCTGCCCCCAACCAGACCCAGTCCCAGCCAGCCATGCCCATCTAGTTCACCTCACCCGCAGGGCACAGGCAGCCCCACATGGCATTCAAAGATTCCCTCAAGGAAAGCAGGTCTCCCTGCAGGTTCCAATACCACCACCTCCAGGGAGCCCTGCTCCCAAGTCAGGAGACAAGGGAGACATGGGCCTGCCTCTCCTCAGCCTGCAGCCAGGTGCACTGGGTGGGTGCCCATATCAGCTGGGGGTGCAGGAAAGGCCTGGAGGCTCGGTGAGGCCCCGAAGCAGCAACTGTGTAGCTCAGGGAACAGCAGCCCACCGGGCCAGTCCCTTCCAAGTCTCCGCACGGGAGCAGGCAGACTGGGAGTCAGGCCAGCATCCCAACCCAGAAGGCAGGCAGGGGCTGGGCTGGGCCCGTTTTCCCAGGATTCACCCCTGGGGGCAATGGGGCCTCCGTCTCCTACAGCCCCACTGGTTAGCTCCCTGGGAGACACCTGCATTGAGCAGGCAGGTCCCACGGCTCAATAACCAACTCCACAACCGCTAGGAAGTGAATGGTTCCCACAGACGTTCCCAGATGTCTGAACCTGGGGACCCCTAGGACGGACGATGCAGGAGGTTTCCCATGCAGCCCCCCAGAAGCAGGAACTAGAGACCACAAGGACCACCATCCCCATACCCCATCCTGCCTGATCCCCACCCCCAGCCCCCTCCCTACTCAGGAGCCCGAGCAGCTGCACCCCCAGCCCCCAGCCCCAGTGACCAACTGAGCCACCAGGTTTTGAACCCTGGAAGAGCAGACCACTAAGAGTGCAAGGTGGGCGCCTCCCCGTCCAAAGTAAACTTTCACAGCTAACTCCATGTATTCCAAACTCAGCTCAACACCCTCCCACTCCTGACGCCCCTGTCCCGAGGCCCTGTCTCCAAGGAGAGACCCCAACAGCAAGCTCTTCAGTTGCAAAAAGGACCTGGGCCCCAAACCCCAGCAGGCACCTCGAGCAGCCTCACTGCAGATGAAGGGACTGGTGCCGGCCAGGGCGTCCAAGGCTGCTGGCTCCCGTCCATGGACCAATATACACAGGTGTCAGAGCTGATCCCAGGGTGACTGACCACAATGGGGTGCAGGCCCAGACACTGCTGGACCCCTGCTGGGTTCCCTGGGGAGGGGGCCGTGGGGAATGAGTCCGTGGTGGGAGGCAGGGCCCTCCCACACCTCCTGGCCTCACTCCACCTGCAGGCCCTGCTTCAGGGAAGGTCCCCGTCTCAGGGGTCCAGAAACAAGGCTTGGGCCCTCCACACGATGCTTCTCTGGGAGGTGCAGCTCTAACCCTGTCCCAGGAGCCTCTGAGACCACACATCTACTCAAAGCCCACTTGTGGACACCATTCAGCAAGCAATGCTCCCAGGGTGGCTTTGATGCCTGACAAGCCCAAGCCAGCAGCCCCCGAGCCCCGCCTCCCCCAGCGCCAACACTCACCAGGCACGTGGGCGGGAGAAAACTGTTCACCCCAGACACGCTCCACATGCCTTCTAGGCATTGCTGGGCCTGGATGGTGACCGTGCTGAGTGTTCCCCCAGGGCCCGCAGGGGACACAGACACCTGGACACTGGGCCCAGGAGGCCAGGCCGGCGCCTTCCTTCTGTCCGGCCCAGCCCGGCCTGCCGTCCTCCCAGCCGGGCCCACCGGACCCGGCACATCCCTAGGGCTGGTCATGCCAGCTGGTCCTCCTCGGGGGGTGTCAGGCTCCTCCTGGTGGGCGGGGCCCTGGGGCAGCTGCAGGGCATCGCGGGTCAGCTGGTTCAGATGGGTGGTACAGACATCACAGTGACGCTCAGCCTCAGGACAGCATGGCAGCAGGGGCCCGGGCCCTGGGAGAGTCTCCAGAAGCAGAGCAGAGAGGCGTGGGTCCTAGGGAGGACAGAGACAAAGGTGGAGTCAGTACTGGCCCGACCTGCGGCCCACTGCCCATCCTCCTTGACAGGAGCACGGTCCATAACAGATTAATAAATCACGAACGGTTTCATCTGCATGGCCCAGTAGGAAAATAATTAACAGCGAGGCTTGCGTGCCCTTGATAGCTGCCCACCTCCCCCCATCGCCAATGTGCTGGGAAGCGTCTAACGAGGCATGTTTGCCGGGCTCCCCAACAACTGGGCCTACACAAGCAGCCATGTCTACTGATCCTGGGAGTCCCAGAGACCAGGAACAGGGAGAGGACCCTCCTCCTGCAGTGTGGGCCTGAGTCCTCACTAGCACGAACCCTCTGGAGTCCTGCAAAGTAGCACCTTACTTGTTCAAGAACCTCAAGCTCTCCCAAGCTCACATACAGCGAGCAAACGTGGGGGCCAAGAAGCTAGAGGCCCCTCCCTGCCACTGCAAGGTCTCAGGTCCTAGTCCCAACAGAGAGAAAATTAATGCTGGACCCTGGGTACATGTGCCTCGGGGTCTTGCCTTGACATGAAACTGACCAGCGGAAATACAGACAATTACAGTTCTGCAAGGAGATGCCGCTAAAACCCCTGCAGGACACCCCACTGTGACCCCACTGGATCTCCTGTGGAGGACCCCGCTGAACACCCCACGGATGACTTTGCAGATGACCCTGATGAAGACTTCACTGACAACCTCAATGAAGACCCCATGGAAGGGGCACATGCTGGAGGCTCTGACTCAGTTCCCCACCCTGAGCTCTGAGCTGCTCGGTAGGTGGGCTACTTCCAGCTTTCCCTGACCTGGGGAGACACACAGGTCTCTACTGTGAGACTGGGGCCCAGAGAAGAGTAAGAATGAAGTCTGACTGTCAGCCAGCCTGCAGCCAGGGAGAACTTCCTGAGGAGATGGCACCTTCAGAGAGAGCGGAAGGGAGGCAGGAAGGGAAGAGGGGTCATTCACTGAACAAACCTCACCAGCTGGGAAACCATTCCACGGCCCCCAAAGGCCCCACCAGGCTCTGTGTCTGCCCAGCAGAGCCCAGGGCCTGAGACAAGACCAGTGACTGCCCACTCCAGGACCAATCAGCTCTCTGGGTCCCAAGATGCCCACCCTAGCCTCCTGCTCCATCCCTGAGGGTGTGTCTCAATGGGAACATCCACCCAGTCCTGCTGTGGCCAGGACCACCAGGGCTTTCCCAGGTCCTAACCCAATGCTGGAATCCTAGTGTGGGTGGCTCTGCGGGTTAATGCCCTGGGCTGCAAATTCAGTTTGAACCGCAAGGTCAGCGGCTCAAGTTTACCAGCCGCTCCTCAGAAACCCTATACGGGGTTGCTATGGGTCAGAACCAACTCAACGGCACTTAACACCAACAACCCAAAGCTGTAGGCCTGGTGCGGTGCTGCAGGATAAGCACTGAACTGCAAACTGCAAGGTCGGCGGTTCAATCCCAGTGTCTGCTCCTCAGAAACCCTATACAGTCTTCGTGATACACGGCATAGACTTGACAGCATTAACCCTAACCCAATACCCATCAGGCCCAGCAGTCACAACCTGGGCCAACTGCAATGTGCACAGTGGACGAAACCCACAGAGCCACCACCTCCCTTGGCCACAGGACAGCAGGAACTCTGTCCAAGGCCTGGCTCCAACCCAACCACCCTGTTGGTCTCCCCATTGTCCCCATCCGCATTCTCTAAGCCTGCCTGTGGCTGGTCAGCCCTGTGTCCTCAGAAGCCCCACAGGGCTCACATCTGGAGAACAGCCGTGGTCCAGGGTGGGGACCCTCAGCTGGCGTCCAGCTCTCTGTCCTGCACAAGTCCATCCACCTGCGGGGTGACCCCTGAGAACGTCTCCCCACAGGGCAGAGCTGGTGACCCCAGCTGGCCACCAAGCCTGGTTCTCTTGGCCCTGGGCTGGAGCC